AGGGCAGGTGCAAGTGAACCGTCGAAAGTGCCCTGCCAGCGGGGTAAAGTTCCATCAGATTGATGTTGGAGGGGACTCTCGCGTGGAAAGTAGTGCTTCTTCCTGCAGCCACATCCAGCTTGCGCTCATGCGTGCCATCCATTTCCCACCGCTCCCGCAACCTGAGCAATCACTTTTGCTTTCCCATCATGTTTCACCTCGAAAGTTTCCAACGCTAAAAGAGAGCTTGGAGACAAACGATAATCTTTTGTCGGCCTCGCCGTCTGGTGAGAGCAGCAATGCGGCGTGTGAAATAAACTCTCCGGGCCATCCCTCTTTTCTGGTCTGTTCTGGGATTGCCTCAGGTCTGGTGGTTTCCCCCAGGAGCCCCAGCAGGCGACAGGTGAGTGGGGAAGTTGCAGCCAGCCGCCAATGCGGCACAGCATTACCGCGCTGTCCTACCCCTCCATTCTACACTATCGCGACCTGCACCTACAGATCGCAACCCTGAGTGCCTCTGTCAAGCACTGATGGACCTGGGCTGCCCGATATTTCCGAAGTTGCACGCCACTTTAGCCTTTGGCCCCTCGATAGAGACAGCTCCCTGCTCTGAGCTTCATCCATCCCTCAACGTGTTTGGAAGGCCGCAGCAGCTGTAATGTGGGCTAAATACGTAGACGTCTAGATCGATCTGCCAACCCAAACTCCCTGATGCCAAGTCACCCAAGCCGACTCTGACGCACATGATGGCCCCCCACAATCCTGCAGCTTCCCATGTCTCGAGCGTGTACCAACTGGAAGCCGATTCCCCGACAGCAACCAGTGGCCCAGCTACCCAAGTGGCCCAGCAGGGTGGCTACACCGTACCTGCAAGTACGTACCCCGATGTCACAACAACCAGTCGAGAGGAAATGCCTCGCCCTGGCATCCCTGGTCTTTGCTTTGTGGTATTGTGAAGCTCTTGTCAGCATCTCTTTCCGCCTCGAGCGTTCTGCCGGAGCGAGGCCAGGCAAACCCACCAAGGGCCAAGAGCTACAGTACCCCCCTAGTCGAATCAAGCCACCATGCATCCCCCCAGAAGAGTTCCAGTTCGATATATGTATGCCAGACGGCCCGCCTTTTCGTGTTCCCGACGGATTGGAAATGTTACAATAACACGACCACTCCTTACGGATTTCTCTCCATATCAGTGTGAAAAGAGTCCCATATGCCATCCCGCACATCGCTCCTCACATCCCCTCCCAAGATGGCCTCACGTATTGGCCAGCTCTCCGAATCCGCGGCAGCTCCCCCGGAAGCTCGGAGTCATTCCCCTTGGCGGCGATCCGCATGCGATCGCTGTCGAAGTCAGAAACTGCGCTGCACCCGCAAGAAAGAAGATGACACTACCACCCCTTGCACGCGATGCCTTCGCATACGATTTCCCTGCTTCACCAGCCCTGCAAAGCCCCCGGGCCGCCTAGCACACAGAAGGCCCACGACAAGCGAACCTCCGTTGTGTACCGATCCCTCACGACACCTTGCAGTTGCCGGAGTCTCCGGCCACGGCATACCAGTATCACTGTCATCCACCGAACCTCTCTACGTCCCATGGCCTTACTATCAACCTGACGGGCGATCAACAGCCATGGAGGACGGAGTATTGGCGCTGTCCTGGCCAGGAGACCACCACGGCATCAATCCATACAACTTCACCGCCGACAGCACCCTAATATTTGACAATGCGCATTCGTTTGCGAGTCAGATCCATGCTCCCGCTGATCCCGCGCTATCAACTGCGCCGGTCGCCTCCGTTACTGTATCCAGAGCACCGCCTCAGGGCATGGAGATGCTGCTTTTCGACAACAAGAGTTGTGCAAGCAAGTCACATTCTGGATATGGTCAAGAGCAAGCGCACATAGTGAACCAAAGTTGTGTTTTGGATCCCGGTCTCCTGCTCTCCGGTTTGCAGCAAAGCCTCTCGAAACAACTCTACAACATCAAGGCATCTCCTCAGGGCTTTAGTGTTCTGAACAGCACATCCTCACAGTTGGCAGAAGACAATTATGGCTTTAACCCCCTGAACCTGGTCCTCGGTAGCACTGTGGAGCTCCTCAGCATCGCTCAATTGTTCGTGGCACCGGATGATGCGGCCGGGAGTCCTCCGCCGGCAGCAAATCTCAGTGACTATGATCCGACTCCGCACATGGCCGACGAGGGCAGCATTCAGGGATCACAATGGCCTTCTCCTGCCTCAAACACGATGCCGTACCAACCATCGCAGATCCCGACACAATATTCGAGCGCTTCATCAGCAGCCAGTTCCCCTGCTTCCACGGCCATCGATCCCGCGCTTCTCCCATCCCGGCCGGACCTCCTTAACCAACCGGTGCTCAGCAGCACGTACCTTTTGACCCTAGTGTCTTGCTACGTACAGCTGCTATCCATCTACGACGCCATATTCGCTTGCATCCTGGTCGAGGTACATAACTCTTCGATGCAACAGCAACTGGACTACTCGAATCCAGCATACCACCCCGCACAGTTCAACTCTGAGTACGCTGTTAACCACCAAAGGGCGCGATCCATTGCACAAATGGTTGATCAGAGGCTGGATAATGTGGAACAGAGTCTGGGATTGCCAAGGGAGTACTCTGTTTCCACAACAGCCTCAGGTGGGTTCAGAAGTGGTCAGGGCCTCTTGGCAGGCGCAGAAGCCAGAGCTTTTTTAGAAATCCTGCTTGGCTCGCCAGGGGTGGCTTCAGGATCAGGGGCAGGTTTGGCTTTGCCAGGTGGCCAGGCTGAGAGTTTGATGTTTGAGGAGTCTTCTAGTGACATGTTTTTGGAACAGCACCTCGGATTCAATGGAACAGCCCCTTCAAAAGGGTCAGCCGCACACAGAGGGCTAGGTGGCGATGTGGTTGTTGACTTGAGAGACAAGATCAGGGAGTTGCTGAGCGGAATGCGGAGATGATATATCTGGGTGACTGATTTGGGAACGATCTGTACTTATTGAACTTTTGATTCCTACATGTTTTTTTTTCTTTTGTTTGCAAGGGCGGGAATCTCTTCAGTACCGGTATACCCGATGGCGCTTTGGCGGGCAAGGCTAGGCTGCTATTTCAAATTTGTAGATATTTTAAATGGTCAAGCAACATGAAAAATGTAAATTTTTGAAGTCATCAAGTTTCCGCTACTGCCTCATCCCCCTATTTGCAAGCACATTTATCGGCACGTCTACATTTTCATATTTTGTTGCCTTTCGTTAGTCACAAAGAGAAGGCTCAAAAACTGATCACACAACTTACAACAGGAAACAGGCTATGTCTACGATATCAGTTGGCACTCATACCCGCTTCATTGTGCTTGAAAGAGTTATCTAGGAAATACATCCGCGGACCTTAGCCGTCCACACCCAGCTGGGCTATTACTCACGATTCACGCCGCCCTCAAGCCAACAAGAGGAGAAAAAAAGGGTGAAGGATACTAGAGTTACATCGTTTTTGAAAGTTAAATCCAGCTGCCTACCGGCATTAACCGGCATTGATCGTAAATCCAGGGGGGGGGCAGGCCGAAAACAGGTAATGCTGGGTGCCAACTGCATAATGGGTATAACGGGAAGGTAATCTACTTACAGTCACTACTACGATTGGGGCGTTTTTTGGCGAGAATGGAAGATGGATACATCCGCGGAGGGCAGGTGTATACTCCTCTGCCGGGGGTTGGGCTTGCGAGAACGGGGAAGGAACCAACCTACCTACTACGGTAGATTTGCACCCCCGGCACGTACCTGCTGATGCAAGTGGACCCTTACAAAGTTGGTGCAATTCTGGTCCTATACAGGGAAATAAAGCAGGTTTGGGTGGAATGAAGCTTTTATGCAGGGCGGGGGCGGGAAGGAATACCCAAGCCATACATCAAGGTCGTGTGGAGGTGGGTGGGTGTGGAGGATGGGATTGTTTTACGGTTAAGGTTGTTTTTTTCGCTTGTTGGCTGTCGTGGTGTGTTTGCCAAGTAATTTTGTTGGTTCCCCATGTCCCGGTTAGTTGGTTCTGTTCTGCATGCGGGAATGCCAAGTCTTATGGTAAGGTCGTAAGGGATGCAGCCGACCGGTGTGAGTCAAGTGAGAACTCTGAATGGCTGAGGGACCCTGGCAATGGAGGTCACTAACAGTAAATCTGGGGATGGTAACCTTCCATTCAGGGTCGGGACTGAAGGTTCCCGAAGTGATGCCGCTGCCAGTAGGAGGCTGTGCTTAATTAGTAGCTGGACAAGTAAGGAACACGAGTGAGTCTATCGAATGCAGAGGCTCAGAACTGAATTCCCCTGATACCGGTACGCGGAAGGTACGCACAAGCCCCTGAATTACGACTTGAACGAACGACGGGAAGGATTTTACTAGAGACATCTTCATCTTTTTTTTTTCTTCAGATTTGAAACTAAACATGCAGGTTGATTCCATGCCCGCGGGTCCCCAGGGGGGGCCAAGAAAAGAAACGTGGCGGCACAAAAGGCTAGTGTATGATGGCGTGCGGCATGGTCGGTAGAGGCCAGCGGCGGCGGAAGGAATAGAACTGGGGAGGTGGCGTTTTCTTATTTTTGTTGTTCGGACGGAAGCGAAAAACGGTCTTTTCGGACCCGAATTATCGGGTTCCGACGAGCGTTGCTTATGTAAAGGAGACCGGAAATTGTTGGTAGAAATGGGGAACTTGGCGTCGAGATATAATGTTCATGGTCATCGTTGTTATTTTCCTTATTCAAGGAGTGGTCCCCCTGATTTGTTGACATGGTTCAGAATTGAAACAACTTCACAAAGTGGCAATCAATCGCGAGGTTCAGGGTTAAGTTGTTGGCAACCGGACGGTGGCGACACGGCTGAACTCCCTGGGCAAGATGCACGTTGGCTACATGTAAACACCAAGCAAGGAGAGCAAACAACTGGCGCACTGACAGTAACTAGACTCAAGACCCGCCGTTGAAGTTTGACATCCAATCCAGTACTTCATCCACGGGCTCCACGGCCAAACTCAAACATAGCAAACTCCCATATAGTGTAGTGGTTTAGCATTCCAGATTTTCAGGAAACATCAAAACTCCACATTTCTGGCGACCCGGGTTCGAACCCCGGTATGGGAACATATTTTGCGTTTTGTGCAACGTTTGAACTCATTTATAGCTCCCGCTGTTCAAGTTCCGTCACAGGCAAGCAACCGCTTGAAACGGTATGACAGATGATAAGAAGAAACGGATCTTGATAGCGTAAGAGACTGACTGCACTGACAGACAGCCTCAGTCAATCCAAAAACGGACCTGATCGTTCTTCCGTCCCATCGTTGACTTGGGAAGAGGTCGCTGGCCTCTTCCGCTTAGCGCGGGTCGACGATGGATCCTCCTGCAAGGAGGCGAGGGTTGGTTGCCGCTACAAGCAGACGCCAACATCATCATGCGGTACATGTATGTATGTATTGCCGCTCGATCTTCATACACTTCCTAAATGGCTCTTGATTCCCTCTGGCGTCTTTTGAAACTCGATCTGGGGCAGCCGCTCCCCCATAGTGTCGGTGTAGCAACAAGGCCTCGTCTCTAAGTGGGGGCAGACCAATGATAGACTTCCAAATATCGTGGAACAGGAGTTTAGAGGATCAAATTATTGATCCACGCAAACAATCGCGTCTACCAATTGAATGATGATTGGCTGCGGTACGAGAATCTGGGGTTCTAGACTGACTGCAGCGCGGTCGAAGGATTGACGCGCCTGGCGCGAGAAGTGAAACCTACCCCTGAGGGACACCGTCCCGCCTTCCACTCGCCTATCTTTAGCGACGTGAGTGACAAAGCTTCCGAGGATATATTTCCACGTTTGGCGTTTCTCGGAAGGTTGATGTCAGCCAAGCCAACAACCCCTGAGTTACACAAATCATGTTAGTCTACAGGAAGGGTGCAGAAGTTACAAAGAAGTTGGGTAAAGTTTGGATGGTTATTATACATGCTTAAGCTTAACGACTACGAGATGGCAAGGTTCAAATGGAAGGAAGTCTATCAGCTTCATGTGATGTTCGATAACTTGCAATTGTTGTATTTGACTTGAGATTGCTGCCAGGGACATTTTGACACACCTCACGGACAATCCAGCTGCTTCATGACAAAGTGAAAGGCTCCTGATTTAAAGCCCTTTTGAAAGGTCCCTGTACAGGGAACACGGTAATGGCTAAACTTGACGCGAGCCTTCGCTTATCCAATGTTTGAGCGTACTAGTAGCCCCTTAGTCAAGCACTGCACCATAGCCACTGGGCCCTTCCTCCCCTTCGTTGACATCACCAGCCGGTCCGTACCGCTCCATGATCAATTGCGTCTTCAACGAGTCCCGAGGAACCAACCAGCCCTTCTCCCGCAAGAACTCTCCCAAAGCACCATGCTTCTCCTTTGCCTCAATAGAACTATCACTCTTAAACGACAGCTCGACAATATCCTCCGTCTCCTGTATTCCCGCCGCCTTTCTAATAGGCCAGACCTCAACATCAACATCAACGCCATTCCACTTGCCCTCATATCTCTTGGCATAAACAGGCCCGTACACGACTCCATCTTTCAACAGCCCCGTCCCCCACGAGTCGAACTGCCAGTTACTGAACTTGTCAGGTGCTTCATCTACCAACAGACTTCTCGACTGCCGTTCATCAGGCAAGTCCATCGCCTTCTTGTCAATGCTGTCCTTCTTGACCTTCTTCTTACGACTGATTGACAGGGTCTGCTTCTCATGCCCCCACTCAACTTGCGCGTCGTATTTGCTGTCCGAGGCATCGAACCCGTCACCGAGAGCAATAAGAAGAGTCGAGGCGATGTCATCCGTGTTTGGGTTACCATCATCCCCGATGGGGTACCGTTTCTTGTAGGTGAGTTCCCAGCCTGCTTCGCCCTCGATCTTGCGGATGCGAGGGGACCACCCGGCGTTGTAGAGTTCCTTGGCGGGTGTGTCAAGGAATTGGATGTTCATCTTGATGGTTTTGTCGGCGAGGATGAACTCGGAGCGGAAAGAGTCAGTTGGTTTCCCGTTGGACTGGGACAGAACCAGCGAGGAGCTGAGAAGGAATTTGACCTCAAAGTCTGGCGTCATTGTTGATGATGCTATGAAAAGTGTTAGTCACAAACTGGTCGATTGGAATGGGCTGACTTGCAAGTGGCCATTGTGGTAAAGTAGAGAGCCTCTACCGAATTATCTTGATGATGCTGCTGCGATGGTGGTAGTGACAGAAAGCGAACAACCCCTCAATCTACCTGTTATTAAATCAGCGTGATCATGTCTTTTTATATTCCGTGCGGTGGGTGTCTGGTTTCATCGAAATGATTATTATCGGCAATTGCGCCAAACTCGGCATTCCCATTGATTCACGTCCACATCAAGTGACGGTGGGTGGCTGAGATTTGCAGATTCCAGACCGATCAGTGGCCAGATTCGTACTTCAGCTCCGAAAGATCACATCGCCCGATCGTGATACCACCAATCAACTGACCCTCCCGTGTCGTCACATTCAGCCCTACCTGCTAGCTTATCCGTCCAAGTTGATTTGGGATATTGAGCTCGTGACTATTTCGCATAGTGTCACAGAAACGATTAGAGTACTACGTCAACAGTTGGCACGTGTAACTGGCTGCTCTCGGTCAACATGAAAGCGTTGAGGGGTCACAGTTGATGATCATGCCTGCTGCCACGAGAAGGGACTCGGATTAATTGCTACCGCACCAAAGTACCCGGTGGAACTTCAGCGACTCGGAACCCAAACCCCAAGCGAGAAAACCCTACATTTTTCAAAAGCAGCTTTCTTTTGAATTGTCCACAGTGCAGGTTCGAGTTGACGCCTGAACCAGACAACGCCTCCCTTGGTGGTTCACGTCACGGTAGTCATGATCCGCTAGACCCCTTGAAATAAACCTGGAATCTAGTCTATAGAATTATTCCCTTCTAACAATTTGTCAAAAGCTCTACGATAACTTTCAAAGCTCAAACTTACTTCTTTTTCCATTCTTCATCAGCACTGTTCGTAATGTAGCCTGTAGGAGAGATTACCTCAACAGTCTGGGTCCACTCAGCGTTCGACTTGTAAACAAGTTTCGGAACAATTTCGCAACAATTGGCTCAATGGTCTAGTGGTATGATTCGTGCTTCGGGTTTTCCCAACACCTGGTAACAGGTGTCAGTAATGTGCGAGGTCTCGGGTTCGATCCCCGATTGAGCCCCTCATTGTTGAATCTTTTTTTTTTTATGTATTCATCCACTCACTTGTATATTTCCGCTCATTGCACTTTATTGTGGTTCTTTTTTTCTTCTTTTTTTTTCAAACTTTTTTTTATGCAGCGAGAATGTGTTGTGTTACAGTTACGGTCATGCTATACAAAAGAACAAAGAAAGAGAATACTCCGTACAATCCGCCTGTCCCTGAACAATGTCGCCACCCAACCTTATTACCCTCCCTCCCTTTAATCCTGAAAATGTAAACAAACGCTTGTTCCCTCATGTAAAATGCCATTGTATTCTTCCTTCTTATCCCATTTCATGAAGATTATATGAAAACAAAAGATATCACCAAGTAGTAGTCCGTTTTTGCCTCATAGAATAATGGTTTTTTATTGGTCTCTCACTATCAAAATGTGTCAGTCTCAACCTTCTTCTCGCACCTAATAAAAATAGGTACCTAACAAAAGAAAAGAAAATGACTTACTCCTTCTTGGGGGTCTCAACTAACAGCTGCTCAAAAGTAGTGGCCGCCCTCCCCCGCCGAACAACCGGCCGATGGGGATCATACGAAAGAGCTCGCTCTCCATCACCCTCAGCAGCAGCAGCCCGAGAGGACGATGATGGCCGAGAAGCAATCCGCTTGCTAACCATGCGCGCAAGCTTCCCAACCTTTTTAGCGACACCAGAAGCCTGGGAGCCTGGGGTCCTGGATGCAGAGCCGACCAAGGGAGCAGTGAAAGACCGTGATCGGGGGGTGATGCCGACGTTGAACGGCTCCTTCTCACCCGAAGCGTCAAAGGAATACCAGTCATCATCTTCATCATCATCCTCAACAACAGTCCGCGACTCATTGTCCCACGACTTGCGCGAAGCAAACACATCGTTGAAGGTTGCCGCACGGGATTTAAGGCGATAAGGCGTGGCCCTGTGCTGAGTTCCCAAGCTATCACGGACCAAAACCGGCCTGGCCGGCTCAGACGACGTAGCATCAGAAGTGATGGGGATGAGCTCCCCATACTTTTGACCCGGGCGAGTCCGGTACCGCTTTCCGTCGATATTTGATCGATAAAAGTAGGTCATGGTCTCCGAGTCGTAACCCTGAAGAACGATGCCCTCTGGGAGCCGGTCCGAGTCGTCGCCATCAACTGGCCACTTACGCGCCATTTTTGCTTGTAGTTGAAGTTTGATGAGTAAGTCAAGTTGTTATCGCAAAAAATCCAGCTTTTGTGAAGAGAAAAACTGCGATGATTGCGAATGATGTTCGTGATGACGGATGAGAAAAGCGGGGTGGAAGGAATCGGGGAAGGAGGGGTCACTTAAATAGTCGATGTGGCCTCCCCGACACAGTTACAATGATCGTGGAACAGGTGATATCTTCAAAAATCAACGAATGTGAACACAAGAGATATTTGGAAAATACCTGGGGTGATATATGAACAGCAAGCATGCAACAAATATGAGGTCTTTGTCGGTTGCAGACAACATAGGAATTGCCACAGGCGCAATGCGCATATGCAGGCGACAATTCTGGCGGGCCGCGAACAACGATTGCCGAGGCGGGCTGTTCAGAAAGTCCAGCTGCAGATGGGGGCTATGTTGCTGTCGTCGGGTTTGCCCTCGTGTCAACCATGAGCCGACGGCTGATGCGGTGGAATTGGGTTAAACCAGCGTCACAGGAGGCGTGGCTTGTCAATATATTCTGCATCGGGCTGTTTCAGGAAAGTACAATTTGCGATCCGGGGTTTTTCGACATTCTGGGCACTGCAAACTCACCATCGCTGAATAAAGCGACTTGCACATCCAGTTGTCTGATTGGTGACTTTTTGATGCCATCTGGCAAGCAGCCACCACTGCCACGTACCATGGCTTTCTCGTGTTTTGTGTCGGTCAGCCCTTACCGTTC